GAACTATAAATGGAATGTAGGAATCAAGGAAAGCAGAAATGTCGGTCCGAGTACACGAAGGAGATATATACACATTGGTGATGATTGTGCTTTTGTGACGAGAAAATTTAGGGTGGCAACGAACAGACAAACAGTCAATGCAGTTTGCAGAGTAGTTAAATGTAACTTATGACTCGCCACACCAGGAAACATTGATGTAAGTAGCCACACCGCCTCCGGTTTTTTTCCTACTTCGCCGTCTATCCTGCCGGTAGCAATCAAACCCTTCTATTCGCACGAGAACGTCTTCGATGTTTTGGTTTAGCCATGTATCTTGTACACAAACAACACGTGTTAGAATTAATGGATGTGTTCATAATAGAGGTTAAATCCGAGATCTTTGCGAATAGTGAGCGAACGGTGGTGCTGACCAATGGTGGCACAGTCATCTTGGCAGGAGGTGTGCGAGCAAGTGCAGTCTGCCATCCGACCCGTCGGCCTTTTTCGATCAAAGGACTTCTATGATTCTTACCAAGCAAATAATCAGTGGGTAGCATAGAATACACAGTTTTTAGTCGTAGCATGTCCTGACGAGAATATTTGTAGATCCTGGTCATGATTAGCACCGTTGTATGGGTGAGTTAAACGATAAATTCCAACGTGACGAACAGGCAAGAGAGTGTAGCGCAGCCAATTGAAGGGCGCGAAGGGTTGCTAATAATAATGCATTGATGTGGTTTGGAAAACATATTCATATTACAGAATATCAGCGTTGATGTTCCCAGAGATGGATACATTGAGGAGAAATATTTAAATCACTTATGGCCATTGAATTACATCGCTTATATGAAACTGAGCCCTGGAAGTTCTTATGCAATGAAATTTGCTTTCAGAGATAAGTGTTCCTAATCTGCGATGTCTAAAGGACACTTAGCAATGTGCACGCTAGAGATCACCGGCAATTCTTATTCATGTTCTTCGACATATTCGGATTGTTCAGTTTCCTTGCTTTTTCATAGAAGACTGCCATAAACGTACCTTCATGAACAAGGTTTATTGGTCGATCGCAGTCATCAAACAATCCTTTATTAATGCGTTACTTTCCACTCTGCATCAGTAACCTCCATCATAAATTTAACGTTAAGATACATCTTTGACGTGCACTGTTGTTTGATTTATTTCTTTTTAAGGTACAGCACTTCATAAACGATTGGCGATTAAACTGGTTCCAGTGTCAAGTTGTTTCGAACTCTGTCTTTACAGTGATATTTCTCATCAACGTCTCAGGTTATCCAAAATAATTTAAAGTCATTTTGGTATCATTTCGGATTGACCCTACAAAATATCCGCATGTTCATGGTAGATTCCCACAGGAATATCAAAAGCAAACAATATAGCGAACAAGCCCACTTTCGTAACTTCGTCTTCAGTCCTTTACAGTTATGTTTGCGTATTCTAATCTAAAGTGGAAAAATGTGATTGGTCCATAGGGGTTAAGTATGAAAATACAACAATGTCTTTCAAGTTGAATCAGAGCGGGGGACGAAGGTAAATTCTGGAGTTTTCGATGTCCTTTCTTTAGGTAAAAATTGTCACGCCATGTGGCGTTATCACGACATGACTGAGGTCATGGTTCGGATCATCACGTAGGTTTGGTTGGGACCAAGGCAACTGGAGCACGGCAACCATCTCCCCCTGTTTGCACAGTGGTGGGTTCATGATTTTGATCGCTACAGATTCCGCGGCTGCCAAGTGACGTTTTCGAACGTGCTTGCATTTGTTTTGGGGTACTTTGAATGCATCTTTGTCTGGCTGATGCCCGGGATTAGCGTGGTAGGCCATAATCGCAATGGCTATTATTTTCTTGCAAATCGTTCTTAACCAAGCCAGTTTATCTTCTCTGATCCTTTGGGAGAACTGCCTCACCGTTTGTCCTACATAACTTGTCCAACGTGTGCAAGTGAAGGAATACGTAATCATGGATGAGAAGAGGACGGACGATATTGTCGACAGTCATGGAGGCTATTGTGGCAGATCTCTTGATGGAATATCTGGAGAAGCATGAGTGTTTGTCTCCAACCCAGAACGGATTTCGGTGCAAGCGTTCGTACACCACAAACCCACTCCTTGCACGGGATGAATGGACTAAATCCGTCAATGCAGGCAAGCCATTGGATATAGTTTATTTGGACATTTTTAAGGTATTTGATCGAGTAAACCACCAAATTCTACTGCAAAACCTCTACAACTACTGAGTAATAGGTTTGGTTCTGGACTGGATCAAGGAGTTTCTCCGAGAAAGGCCCATGTCAGTTCGTGTTGGTGATTCATTATCAGAGCCTATCAGAGCTACCTGAGGGGTTCCTGGAGGATCCGTGCTGGGGCCTCGTCTCTTTATTGCATTTATAATAGATCTGCCACATATCCTTGGGCCTAATACACTGCTATTTGCAGACAACGGTAAGATCTGGAGAACTGTAACACATCCTGAGGATCATATATCACTCCAAAAAACGATCGACGCAACCCACTGATGGTCAGCTGCCAACGACATTGAGTTCAACGTTTCCAAATGCAGAGTTATTTTCACGCGGCATAAGACTCGTTTCTCCTACGTTCTGTGGAACCAAATACTACCGCATGCCACTGATGAAAGGGAGTTGGGAGTTATGGTACAGGAGGACGTAGGA